ACGGCAGTGTAGCGGAGGTACAGTCGTCGAGCATGGTAGGAAGTATTCTTGAAGAAAGCAGGGTCAGTACCCATAATTATGGTGGGTCTAGCTACAGAAACTCTCCGCCTTAGCGCCACTTATTTTCCTTCTCATGGCACCACTCTGGTAGGCTGGGCTCTATAGCTGATCAAGATAGCTGACATAACCTGTCACACAGCGTGCCTTATGATAATGTTTACAAAGATGGTCGATCTGCCGAATATCTGGAGAGGTAGCTCAGCATGGCTCTCGTGAGGAAAGTCTATGCCAGCTCCATTTCATTACACTAACTCTGTGCGCTTGCACGCTTTGAAACAGGGCCAGCGGCGCAGAGTTGACCAGCCTCAAGGAACGTCAAGGCCAGTAGGACGCTGTATATTATTCGAGTTATGTTTTATACAGGCAGGGGTATAGCTGTCCTGGACGGGCTTATTTCCAAAGGTCTAGTCGCCAAGGGTTAGGGAGGGGCACCTTGGTGGGCAAAGTCGCACTCGGATATATCCAGCCTCGGTATGAATAGATGGATCCTTGGCAGCAGCTACTCCTGCCCCACACGTCATCTCGGAGTCGAAGCTGGACTCCAACCATGTATTAATGGTTGTTATGAGCTCATCGCTAAATTTAGCTTCCCCTTATCACGAAATTTCATGCCCATTCACCTCAAACATGTATGCTCTTGGTCTGCAACAGAACAGGAAATAACCTCATCTCTCATCACCTAAAATATTTAATCAACCTTGCAGGTCATTGGTCTGAGAGGACTCATCTATCAACACATTTCCCTATCACCATTATCATGAATTTAACCACGATCAGATCAAATGTTAGGGTCGGAGCCCTACTCATCACTAACCCTTAATCATGGAGGAAAAGCCATCCGATGAGTTTCCGGAGCGTACTCAGTACCTGATACAGCGACGGTGGATTGGATCAAGTCGGCCTCGACTGTTAAAAAGAAGGGAGATGTAGATGAATATGCGCACCTCATGTGGTCCCGGTGTCTAGACCTCACCTTGCTTGGGCTGCAGGATTTTTGAGACTTTTTCCCGCGCACGCAGTTTCCATTGCTACCATTGCTACCATTGCTACCATTGCCATCATTTCTATCTTTTATCGTTAGAAGGTTCCGTAGAAAAGGTAGCTGAAATCCACGGGTAAACACTGAGCTGAATGGCCATTCATCAAGAGCAACATATCAAAGATCTATCGGGCAAAAAGGAGGGCAGGAGCACACTAAAAAGTGTGAACTGGGCCAAAGAGGAACCCAATGTACTAGATAGTCATAAACCGAAGTAAAACAGGAAACCCACTTACACCCGTAATTTCTTGAAATTCAATACCTCCAAATATTTTCCTTTCCCCCTCTCGCGGTCGTCGCTTCCATTAGAAAATTGTGGTCGAGCCGCTTGCAACTTTCCAATGCCACCTATTCGAAAAATATATTCCCAATGACATGTTGGACAACTCGAGAGTCCACCCGACGGTTGTCGCAAAAACGCCGGGACTTGTTCATGTTAAAGATTTAATCTATCCATAACTCTGAGCTTGATGATGGCCAGCAAGACGAAGAATATCATGACCTGTTATTTAAGATAAAGGGCGAAAAGGGCATTAATTAGAAGATAGTACCGATATATTAAGGGGTGATTAGCCCAGAGTAGGTATGAGCATTGTGAATGTAGTCGGAAGCATTATCATATCAGAAGTGAGTCGGGTGCGCAATATATGTATATACACGTATCCTATCCCTGTCCACAATCACCAACCCCTGCACTGCCATGAACACCATCAATCTCTGCTATCCATTACAATCTTGAGTGTCAATATGAGTTACTACTATACGGTATGTTTGTACGGGTCGATATCAAGATAGAAATGTTAACAGTTCAGTCTCAAAAATGCGTGAATATGGGCTAAGTCGTTTCGAGAGGTAAGGAAAAAGTCTTTCTCACAGTCACCGAGCCCGATACTGACATGATCGGGTCAGTTGAAGCTATTGAGGAAATTCCTCAACAAGCCTACAACCCACACCGGATTGGAGGACCGCCGAATTCTCCTCAGATCTAGTCAAAGCAGTGGGAGAACGCTGCTCTAAAAGGGACCCATAAATCAACCTGGCAGCTAAAAGCTGCCGCCCAAGCAGACTGCCTGAGCTTCCACTGTTTTTCGAGGCCGAAGAACGACTCGCCGCCAAAATAGCGGCATATCTAGCGCTCAATTCTGCTGCCATAGCGCAATTCATGGCCTCAAGCAAGGCCTCTACGCCATCCAATCTTCCTCCTCACCCGACGGATCTGCCCCTGGGGGCTCCCGACGCTAGGAGCAAAATTACATCCGCCGCCCCAACACAGCCTACAAAAAAGCACCTGTGCCACTGCGGTACGAAACAGACTGAGACAAAAGGTAGTTCCCGCAGCGAAAGCTGTACTTCCAACTTCTACTATAGCCACTAAGAAATCGACTCCGAAGGCGAAGGACAATAACCAGCTCTTCACTCGCCTCGGTAGCGACTACCCGTGGTGCAAACTTTCACCTTGCTGCTTACGGGAAAAAGTAGAGGATGAGCTGGAGTGTGTCATAGGTGATGCCAGCCTAATCCACCAAGTTAGGGCCGGCTTTGTGATTCTTACAAAGGATGAAAGCTCAAGGGAAAGGCTCGTAGATGCCTCACCGAAATTGATGGATGGCAACGCCAAACTCGAAGGTCTTCCGACCTTGTCGCTTCTCGGATAGCATATGTACCCGCGAAGATTTTCACAACTATGGGCCCTAAAACGATCGATGCTGAGTGGATTTCAGTCGAGATCTCTCTTCAAAATAGCAAGAAGCCAATTCAAGTGCGACCACATGGCACGTGTCGTCCTGGTGCGCCATTAAGAGACTGGTGTACCCTTTTTGTTCGGGATTCCGCCTCGCCGACAAATTCAGCAGTGTTATCGCTGCCTCGGCTTCCACACCACTCTTGATTGCTCCAATGCTCTGGCCAACCAGAATTGCGGATCAAAAATGCATTCTGAAGAAGAGTGCAAGGGCTTCACTAGATGTCGAAACTGTGGAGGATCTCACAGCTTGGATTCTCGGGGATGCCAGGCCAGACTCAACAAGCTCGGTTCGATAAGCAAAGAGCAACTCGCGATAATTCGCCAAGTCGAGCACAGGAGGTTTGTAGAAGCAACTTGGGCAAAAGCTGCAACCAAAAGAATAGAAGAGGCGATTATCGCTACTAACAAGGACGTCTCCATAGCTGAGGGATCAGGCTTCAGAGTTCTGGCGTCAGAAGAAGAAGTTTGAGGGCACAGTGACCTCAATAACGCCCTTTTAGGTGCTACTAACCAATAGTAGGATTCTAGCTGAATCAATGATACCTGTTAGCCTATCTCTTGCTCTCAGCAGAGATTGAGAAAATTTTCATTTGGAAGGTGTGGCGGGCGAGGGAATGTGTGAGGAGCGCATTGTTTGGGTTCAACGTGAAGGAATCTTCTGATTTTCTGAATTGTTTTGAATATTTTGTTTTTAGTTTTCTGGTTTAATCTGCTGCAACTATGGCAGTGTTAACGCGGTTGGAGTGAGTTGGGCTGTGGAGAATAGTACAGGGATCCCTGCCGGCTCTACCGGTTCTGTACCCATAGTAGGACACAGAGCTTTTACTTTAGCTTTGGACTTGAATAAAACAACATACCTACTCGTCTAGTACAGACACGCTAGGCCCTCACCGTCATCACCGCGTTTATACCTATCCCCACCTTTTTCATCAAATTCATCCAGTATTTCGTCCGCCAACCCCTGCCCCTCCAAGCGTCATCCCGTCTTTCTTTATCAACGTTTACAGCTCCACTACTCAGCCCACCCCATAACTCAGTATGCATCACACATCACCTGTCCATGCAACCAACTCTTACGCTAAAGGAATAATGACTAAACAGCTGTTCGCCATGTCCCCTTTTAGCATCAAGCTCCAAAAGTAGAGTTTACGGAGCTTAAATTAAACTCGATGCCAGCTCGGAAGGCTTGTATTAGTATCGATGTTACGAAATTCTCGACCACTCTGCGAGGTATAAAGTATTTAGGCTAGCCTACCACACCATACAGTCACTGTCAGGAAATTTCTGGCTTTTAAGGCGACTTCCGACTCACTCGGAACTTTGAATGACGAGAATATTCGAAAGAGGATTGGGTAGGCGGAGACTGGCGCTCTCAGGTATACACAAAACTATAGCGTCTAGCAACCCGGGACGCTTCAGAAGGGTAGATATGTCTCAAACTTAGTTCTGATGTCGGTATTAAAGGAGCCCCACACGAATTAAATTCTACAAGTCTTCCAGGCTACTATAAAGCGGCAAATGACCTTCTTTGTATTGTTATGAGGATGGATGAACGGCCAAAAATACCTCTAAGCGTATTATTGAATGAAGACTTGTGAGGAGTAGTAGTATTGGATAGTGGTTATAAATGAGGCATGTAGATTTCTGGCTGTAAGCATAGAGGAAAATTATTAAATCTAATTTGTGTCACTTTTATCCATAATTTTAAAGATGCACTAGTAGATATTACTTCCAGCTTAGCCAAAGTGAACCATTTGATAGCTGCTATTGTAGAGATGGGCGAAAATTAGCCTTGAGGAGCCAATCGTCTTCTCAAAGAATTTAGAGTCATCTCTCTGTCGCTGAAGTATAACGTATATGCAGACAACGTGGCCTACTATGTTTGTGAGAAATCAATAGCAATAATACGAATTACTCCCAAATTGCCTGATAGTGATCATGGTAGTTTTACTATTCACTTTCAAATAAAGTAGATAAGTTGCCAATCATAAATATTTAAATTGCCAAGATTTCCCACATACGCCTCTAACGCGAAGAATCTCCCATTTTGTGTTCATTTAACTGGCTAAAATGTTCCAATCAAGCATGATTTTCACCCAAACGCCAATAAGTTATACTTCATCTAAATTCATTTTAGATTTCGAATGATCTTTTGTCTTAGGTCCGCTCTGAACGACTAAACCGTTTACCAAACCATGATTTTCGCTTTTCCGTTACGGGTTGAGATGTGACAGATAAAACTGGTATATCTTGATTCCTACTACTTCCCAACTTAATGGGGACTCTCGGGGTTTCTTTTGCCTTTATGTCGTCCATGACCCTGGATATTCCATGACCTTGCCTAGGGATGGACTGAATTTGTAGCATACTAGTTGATTGATATGGTGGGGAGATATTATCAGATCTACTATTAAAACTGTAGCTACCGGCAGCATCTTTCTGTGACGAATAATTAATTTGATCAATCGAACTGTTCTCACTGCTAGGATCAGTTGAATAGTTTGGATCTGTTAAGCTTGCAGAACCTGAAGCTGAATTTACAGTTTCGTACGATGTTTGAATATTGTGGGCAGGGTACACAGAGTTTCCACCATTCATTTCAAATCTAGGGTGTTGATGAATACGGCCTATGTGTGGGTTGTGGCCTGGGGCGCTGGCGTCGTGGGAACTATGGTACATTGAGGGAGATGGCGATGGTCCATAATAACTAGCGCTTCGATATCGTGTCCTTTCGTCGGTGAGAGCAGTAGGCCTTACTAATCATTCTTTAGCCAAATTCAGGCAGGTGTGATCCTAGCAGGCCATTATGAAAGTTCGACCTGCTAGCAAATAATACTGGCATGGGTCATCCATGCTTTGATCACCAGCACTCGCCTGAACCAATTTGAAGCACGTGTGTTAACCCAATTGTGAAGGGATTAAAAAATATCGGATTCAAATGAGATCTTCGACAAACTTACCACTGTAATTTTCGCTATGTCTTTTTCCATTGGTATCTTGAGCATTATTTTGGTCAGCGTTTTACAAAAAAGAATTATTGCAACCTTGTAGGGAGCAAGAGAATACTCACGAGCTCTTATAAGGGACTGCCTTGAATAACTGCTATCGACGGCAGCCTCGAAGCTTCGAATTGTATCTAAGGGCCTTTCCCAACGGCTGCGAGTAGGATTACTGCGATCTGGCTCGGCTGAAAGTGGTAATGTTTCAGCATGTCAGGCACTTCTGATCATTCAGATCTTAGACTTACCGATAGGATTCCCATTTTTGTCGCGATGTTGGATGGCTCGAATTGGTGCGAGTGTGGTCATCACACCACTGGCGACTGCCGCTGTTCATTCATTAATATCTAAATCGTAGGATTGCTCCAGAGGTTTTCGTTGCACTTACATGGCTGATCTTCTACCATGGCCATTGATGGATCGGCTTTGGAATGAAATCTGCTGGTTCCCTTCTCCCGAGTTTCGATAGGAATTGTCTTTGAGGTTGAATTAGTTCTTTTCCGGCCGTGAGAGCTTCGTAGGCTAAATCCAGTCCTTCCCTTGGGCTTCTGGAATAGCTTTTCTTGAGCCGGCTGCACCGCCGCCTGGGAAGCAGCTGGCGAGATACGACCAGTGCGAGTTGCCATCTTCATTATTCAGGTGAAATGATAGCGATATGATAATATAGATACGGGCGCTATCAAACTAAGGCCAAAGACAATATATAACAGGTAGGATATCAGAGAGTATGAAAAGGTTGAAATGTCGATTTTGATGTTTAGATGTATATTTTAGTGATAGGCGAATGGAGAAACAGGAATATAGTCCAGTAGTGGAAGAGGTGATGTGGTGTGTGGTGTGTGAGTTAATTGCATCGAATGTCAGATTACCCGGAGTGGATTGCAAGCGTACAACCTTGAACCAGTTAAAGTGACTTAGTTACGACACTGAGAATACTCTCGTTCAGATTAAGTAGGTTGGAAGTAGATGCGCTTGGCCTCTGTTCCACGTTCAAGTGACGCTTAGAGATAGATTGACCAGGATGGCGGTGCTAAGGGCGAAGTTTCCGATTCCCGACTACCCGAGCTGCCCAGCGAGAAGTAAAACAAAAGGGCAGGAAGGCGTAGCAGTAGTACTCGAAGTTGTTGTTTTAGTGAAAGTAGTGGGGAAACAGATGTGGGGTAGGATGGTAATCGATGGGGGCGGGGTACAAAGGAGCAAAGAAATGAAGAAATCAAGTGGGAGATTAAGGAAGATGGTGATCAGCGGAGTGAAGGAGTGAGAATGAGATGAGAAAATCGTATTAGCAAACGTTATGAATGTGTAGAATAGAGTCTGGGTCATAGCCAGGAATCAACTGGGAAGGGGAGGAGGCGGGGGGGCTGATTGATAATCTAAGTGCCTGAAGAGGCGGAAAGAGCAGATGGGCGATACAACAGTGAAAAAGATATTAACGCGATGGCGGCGTTGGTGGCGGGGAAGGGACGGCGTCAGAGGAGAGTGCTGACTAGCTAAAATTCGCAAACAATTAGCGTTTGGACAAAGAAGCTGTGGGCAGGGATTGACATGCGTGAGATGCGCCATGAAGAAGATAAAAGGAATCGTTATAACAACTGTGGGTGAGGTATGCAAGGCAAGGTGAAGCCATCCAAACAAAAGAAAATATTAATACAAGTCATTAATATAGAATGAAATATGAGAAGCAAACACACCCTCATCCAAACGAGCTATCACGGTCAGCAGCAAAGGGCATTGACGGGATTCCGTCATACCTCGCCGTGGACCAGGCTGAAACCAGGCCAGGTATGACTGTCATATCTACACACTCATCCAAAGATACCGACACATGTTCAGACTAACATGCATATTCATCGCCACCATTCATCCACACATGCCATAATTGACACTCTGACGGTGGCTAGAGTATGCGTTCTATATGCACATTCGATATATACCTCATTTAGAGAACCCCCTGCACCTGTCTCCCGCACCATCCATGTGGTCTCAAACTGAAACTAATTTGTAATCAAGCGTTAGACTCGTTCCATAGAATGCGTGTTAGGAGCCCTGGTGATCTTCCCATATTTGGAATTCAAATCTTCCACACCGGGTCATAATGAACACATCCCATTTTGTCATGAATCTCTGGGGATAGTAAGTTCAGTAATTTCAGCCTAAGGAATCTGAAGAGGTTCCACCGGAATGGGGGGGGGGGAAATCAAGGCGAACACGGCCTTCCGTCGCACGTACGACCGAACAACCGAACGACCCTCTGTTAGCCAACAATCATTAGGTTTCCCTCAGTTGCTACCAAGTCCCACTCCATGACTGTCCACGGCTGCAGAAACACGCGATTACAGGTGACTTGGATTCGAAATTAATAGGTCTCCTCGTGAGTCACGAGTAATTGAGATGGCTTATCCATCTGATCAATCTCATCATGGAGAGTGACAACAATGGAGAGACCCATTTCCGTAGGTAATGCCTGTCGAACACACCTCAATTGATACGGTCTCCTCACAAATGTCATCGAAAAGGAAACCAGCGCCACGGGAAACATTATCGGATGCAACAAGGACAAGATACAAATTCCCTGTAACATGTGGAACATCAAACAGTACAGCCTGATAGATCCTAACACCCGCATGAAGAATATACTAAGTCTCGGGTATATTTAAAGATGATTACCAGGTGAAAAATTGGCGCCAAAACATAGCGGTGGAACCTTGAGGCTCGAGGTATGATAATATAATTATACAAGATTTAAGGTGGATAAATCCGTTATGGAGGTTTTGTTGTCTTAGAAATGACTACGTCTCATAAAAATACTTTTGCTGCACCAAATATCGCATCTATCAATTTAGAACATTGTTGGATTATACAATACGACGACAGCACCATGGCTGAGGCAACCTCTTCTGACCTCTAATTAATGCAGTAGAAAAATGTAAATACTTCTTGCATTAGACGATCCAGGGGATACCCTCGAGGTATTACAACAAGTTAAGATATTTACTCCAAACAATTTTTTTATGAAATGACATTAAATCAAACGCAGTTGCGGAGTTTCACATTCTGTACGGTGTGCTATTAGCATCTTTATTTGTCATTTATACCACAAAAAATTGTGGCGGCGAATCGCTAAGACCTCCCAAGTATCGTTCAGTGACATCTTTCTTCTCTTACAACTTCTTGCTTGAGTATGATGGATGCGTATCAAGCTTCTCGCTCAACCTAGCACCCAACACTCATGTGGGAAAACGATGATTTCAAACAATAATCAGTAAAGAATATGACAAACCCAGCTACTCGCTTCACAATGTTTAGGTAAAAGTTTTGGTACTCTTGATAATCCCTCCCCAGAGACTTGGAATAAGTGAGTTGTACAAAAATTACCGGGAAAAACAATTGCCCTTACAATCTTATCAAATATACGTAACTCTAATGTTGTGAAGGTCATGCAGAATCACGCTCCACGTGATGTTGGCTAAACCATGTTGGATTAGATAGACTTGACCCGCACAAGTGAGAGTGTTTCACCTGTATGGGCTGAGTAGAATAGGAGACAGGAATGAATTACGATTGAACTACCACGTTGCAACGTAGTGCCTCCGATTAATACGATACTTCGCTGTATCAACATCTAGCTATGATATATATGTAATACACGATCACAGCACAAGATGGGTAAGAAAAACTTACATGTATGAGCTCTATTTGTTATCACTTTTATCTTGATATCGACCCGTACAAACATACCACACAATAGTAACTCATATTGACACCCAGGATTGTAATGGATAGCAGAGATTGATGGTGTTCATGGCAGTGCAGGGGTTGGTGATTATGGACAGGGATAGGATACGTGTTGTTTATATATTGCGCACCCTACTCACTTCTGATATGAGGATGCTTCCGACTACATTCACAATGCTCATAGCTACTCTGGGCTAATCACCCCTTAATATATTTCTCTCATATTCTAATTAACATCTTTTCGCCCTTTTATCTTAAATGACAGATCATGATATTCTGCGTCTTGCTGGCCATCATCGAGCTCGGAGTTATGGACAGATATAATTAACAAATTCGTCCTGAACTCTGCTTCCTTGAAAGCCTGGGTTCCGTGGCTACTAGAATATATTTACCCGACAGAACTCAATCAATGTTGATGGTGCAAACCTATTGACAAATAGAATCGTCAATTTCTGCACTTATTGTTTTTCACATTTCTTATTGAATAGATATTGACCTCGTTATTCCGGATCTAGGGCTAGTAAATCCTCATTTATCTATTCTGAATTCACGACTCTTCAATGCTGGGAAGCTGGCTATTTTGAAACTATGGGGATATGGAGGCTATTCGTGAGCATGTGTATGTAAGTATATATTCGTTATTATGTCGTTGATCCGGTTGTTGCTGTACGGTGTGCTAGAAGCAAATTGGACCTCGCTCACAGACGCTGAATGATTTTGTCGCGATATCGTCTTTCTATCTACACTTCCAAAATTGGGGCTGTGTGTACGTGCCGAGCTATGCCCAATAACATGTGGGTTTTTAAGAGCGTACCTGCCAACTTCTACGCTCCTCATCATGACTAACAATTTGGTGTTTGATGACGATGCTTGGGAGAATTAATACAGAATAGTACGGATTTAGTTGTTTGAATAAACTGTTTTCATCTACGACAGCTTTCCAAGTACATATGAGGTAACAGCCTAGTTCTTGCTTTGGAATATGTTCTGTCTCATTTCACTAAAGGATATTCTCTTTGTTCAACTTTTGAGAGCTCGAAAGAATTTATCAACAAGGGACGTGTTACAACAGATTAGTTCTATAGTTTTCTTAATTTAGCGTGAGATGCAGTTCAGCTTATTTTATACCGGCAGATGCTTCCATCGGGGTTGCCTTATTAAGTGGCATTTTATAACCTGATAATGCTTAACTGTCAGAGCGAATCATGGATTAGGTATTATCCTAATAAATCACTGTCGACGGATACTGTGATTCATGTTCGCAGCATCTCCAGATAACTTGCAAACCCAAGCACTCTTCCAGCCCCAGCTTACTAGTTGTAACGGCATGTCATCAGCCACCTAGGTTCTGAAGTGCAAGCCTACACTACAGCACTTTATATAGACGAAGGATAAAGCATGACCCTCACGGATGCGCCAAATGACTTAGGAGGTAGATTGCGTCTGAATTGTGCCCGTACTACACCCGAGTTTCCTAATCACAATTTAGTGATATTTCTAGTTGTTTTGTTTTGACATACCGTGTGGCCGAGTAACTTTGCCCCAGATTACCCTAATTTTAGATCCACGAATTTCTTTTTGAGCCCGGTAGACGAAAGCGACTTTTTTTCCAAGGTAAAAGCTAGTTCCATCAGCCATTGCTCAATTCTGATGTACTAATATACCTACTTTGCGGCTTGGGTATTCGTGACACCTTCAATTTGTATCAGACTCGTGCCTGGATTTGTGTTACGCTTTCCTCGCTGGTAGCTTAGATGACGACCCCTATGGTAGTTATCAGTCCAGTCCAAGAATGTGGCTCATTAGATTCGGTGATTTTTGTCCAAAAATATGTAGGATGAGTTTTTTTTGATTTTTGAGATGCACTAGCACTTACTTAACGTAAACTATGTCAAAAGTTAGCAGTGGATTTTTAATTCTTTATAGATTTTATAAGCGAAAGATAGGACATTGAAGTTCACTTGTTGATATTCCACAACTGGCTATTCCTATATTTATATGAAGCTAAAAATCACTTACGACGGTGGCCTGATTCTGAGGGCATTTTTAATGAGTCTGGAGCTCAGACTTTTGTTAGTAACCAAGGAAATGGAACGAATCCGATCGTACTCAAATATATCTGTCGTGTAGGGTTAGTCGTTTGTCAAGGTTGCGGTCGCTGAATTCAGAAAACTCCCAAGTGTGAGGCTCGGATAAATCTAAGCTTACCATATTTAGACTAGTATATCACGTGCGAAGTAGATATCAACATGTTTCAGCCATCTACTCGCATTAACTAACCAAAACTATTCTACAAAATTCTACAATTCAACCTCCGAAGGACCTACACAGTGCACGAAGTGTGTCGCATCTCTAACGCGATTGAAAGTAAAACATAGGTTTTTCTAAGCAAGCAACTAACTAATATTCAACTTGAGGATCTACGTGCTCTTTAGTGATAACCTAACTAACATACATTAAACCCAAGAAAAAGCACATACTAACTTTTGAAATCTCTACTCACAGATAAGTAACAGAATGCAGCGTTGGTTGATAGAATGATTGCCTTGAGACCCTCACTGTCCATGAGAGCATGGTCAAAAGTTGTAAATTGTAGGCAGTATCTTATATATTAATTCTAGGAGTCCTATAGTCATTGACTCAGTAAGGACCATATTATGAATCTACTCTAATCAAATGAATGATTTGATCACCTATGCAAAAAAAAAAAGGTTTGATCACGTCTCCACTAAGCTTGGCTGCAGTTTCAGGCTGTGTGGTGTCACCTGACTTAAATAAGCGATAAATGGATGCCCTGTGCTTAGAACTAGGGCTGCGTGCAGGTGGATAATAATGTTAGTACTCATGTAGAAAAGTATTAGAGGGAGATATACAGAGAATACATTACACATTAACACCAAAACCCCGGGTTACCAATATACGGGTTATCTCATTAGATCATGAGTACAAGTTCAGAAGATCGTAGCAAACAACATCACGTGGGGGCATGTCTAGATAACTCAGGGTTTTTGAGACGTTCCCCTGGGTTGGTATTCACGGACGAGGGTTGACTTGGGGTGAAGAAAAAGCCGCCATAACTTCGCAGTGGTACTTGCAAATGAAATCCGAGGCATAAGAGCTCTTACTTTACATTGAGTCATCTATTGAATACTTTTCTTTGATATTGTGTCATAGCTAGCCAGCTTCATACGCAATTCATATCTGATGCAAGGAAAATCTACTTTTTGATAACTTAATCGAAAATCTGAAGGTATTAAAATGTATAACCCACTACTTAGTTCGTGGACTTGTTGGTAGAGGGAAGCTTATGCAATAATGAAGGATAATAGGATGTCAGTTCGACTACTCTTCTAAACACAGGTACCAGACTCCTTATAAACCCTATAGATAGTCCGTGCGGGATCTCCCATTAACAGCAGTAAACAACGCTAGCACAGGGTATACGCAATCTCCGTTAGCTAGACACCAGTCGGTCGGGACTACTAATTATCGAGCCTAGTAGGATTGACAAAGTGTATCCCAACACAGAAATAATGGAAGACTCAACAACAAAGCCCTTCATCAATTCGAGATATTCGAGAATTCGAAAATTCCCATTTTCACATATTCCTCCCATCTCGATCTCGTCGCATTCATCTTCGAATTGTGATCGAGCGTAGGCATTTTTCACCATGCCTCCAGTTCGCAAAAAGCGTCCCAACGCCAAGTTAGACAACACGAGAGTCCGCCCAAGGACTCTCGAAAAATTACCTGACCTTGCTCAGCCTCCGAAATGCGCGGAGATGAGCAAGGTCTCAACTAGAGGGAAGGAAAAAGCCCTCCCCGCCGTCACTGAGCCCGATACTGACATGATCGGGTCACTTGAAATTGTTGAGGAATTTCCCCAACCATCCTCCGTCCCTCACGGGACTGAAGAATCGTCAAAATCTCCTCCGACAGCGTCAAAACCGTCGGAAAACTCTGCAGACAAAGCAGCGCCAAAATCAACGTCGCAGCCAAAAGCTGCCACAAAAGCAGAGTGTCCCCTAGAGCTCCGACCAATTGTCGAAGCTGAACAACGACGCGCCGCCGAAACAGCGGCAAATCTGGCCCTCTGTTCCGCCGCCATCTCTGGCATCGAAGCAACCCTCCTCCCTTTGACCAACGGGTCAAATAGACAATTCGTAAACTCGATGAGAGTCTACCTACGCGCCACCATTGCGCAATACATGGCCACGGGCCCGGCCTCCACGCCACCCGTCCTCCCTCCTCGCCCGACGAACCCCCTCCCAAGGGCTCCTGACGCCAGGAGCAATACAACTCCCGCCGTCCTAGCGCTGCCTGTAAAAAGCACCTGGGCCACGGTAGCCAGAAATAGACTGCGACAGAAAGCAGTCCCAACTGTAAAGGCTGCGCTGCAACCTGCGGCAAAGGCCCCAAACAAAGATGCCCCGAAGGCGAGAGTCGACAAACGACTACTCCTTCGCCTAGAAAAGGAGCACCCGTGGCGCCAGCTTACGCCTGCCGGCCTACGGCAACAACTAATGAAAGAGCTAGATTGCTACCTGAGTGATGTCTGCTCTATACACCGTGTGAGGACTGGCTTTGCGGTTCTGACAGGGAATGAAAATAAAAGGGAAGAGCTCCTAGATGCCGCACCAAAGTTTTCAGACTTCGGCACCAGGCTCGAGGAAGCCTCCAACCTTGTCGCCTTTCGGATCGCGAATGTTCCGGCGACCATAAAAACAATCGACTGTACTTATACGGTCAATGCGGATTGGATCTCAATGGAGATCTACCGAAAAACAAAAAAGCTTCCATACAAGGTGCTACCGCACGGGACATGCCGTCCTGGAGCGCCGTACAGAAATTGGAAAGTCCTTTTCGACCGAAACAACGCCCCTCGCCCGGGCTTCCGAATTCTCGAAGAGGCTGGTATGGTTACCATTTACAAGCCACGACCACATATTGAACAGTGCAAATGCTGTTTGGGCTACCACGTCACCCGTGGTTGCTCCCGCGCTCCAGCCTGCTGGAACTGCGGATCTAACATGCACTCGGAAGCCGAGTGCAAGGCCCTCACTAAGTGTCGTAACTGTGGGGGACCTCATCGATCGGATTCTCGGGCCTGCCAAGTCAGACCCATAAAATCCGGACCTTTGACAAAAAAGCAGCTCGCGTGGATCTGCCACATAGAACAAGGGGAGTTCTCAAAGGTGGCACGAGCAGCAGCAAAAAAGGCCGAAGAGGTGATCACCGCCGCTGCGAAGGACGTCTCGATGGCTGAGGCTACAGGTTTCGGAGCTCTGGGATCTGAAGAAGAAGTTTGAGGGAACAGCGACCTCGAAAATGCCCCCTTTTGGGGCATCTATTAACTATTGGCAGGATACCGGCAGGATAAAAGGTGCCTGCTAACCCATCTTTTGCTCTTAGCGGAGAATGGACAAATTTGCTATCTGGAAGGTGTGATGGACGAGGGAATGTGTGAAGAGCGCATTTACTGGGTCCAATATAGAGGAATCTTCAGGTATTCGGAGTTGTTTTGATTTCTGTCATTTTTCGTTCTTGTTCAATCAGCTGCACTTTTGGTAGCGATTCACGAGGTTGGAACGAGTTAGGATGTAGGAAAAGTTACAGGGAACCCTGCCGGATCCGCCGGTCCTTGACCCAATGTGGAAAAGATAGCGTTAGCTTAGGACCAAAAGTAAAAAAAAAAACCCTTCATCAGTTACTTCCATTAACCATCACCTGACTTATCTCTGAACTCCATAATTTCAACAGAAGGGTTATTTCTCAGAATATGATGTCGTCGAATATTTATGAACTGTGTTGAACAAAGAAATCATATTCTAAGTTTTGTCTTGCTCGACTCCGGACAACCTATTTGTGAATCTCCGGAGACAGAATCTCGCAGTTTTGAATCTAGATTAGTCCGAGGACGACTTGTATAAAAAATGCAATTATGTTTTCCAACCGTATCTTATGCATCGATGTCTTTGATTGCTTTTTCTTGTAGATACGTTCAGTTTTGGAAGGTAAATATTTAGAAAAGATATCAAGGAATATAATCCAGCAATTGTTATCCACTTCAAGAATTTAGAATCATTATAGAGGTCATCACCATGAGCAGCTTCATACAGGATAGTGGTCTCCACTCGTAATACTCCCGATCGAAACCTCTCAGAGATAATAGATACTCACGTGACAATAGAAGATACATTAGTTCGTGTTAAATTATAAGATTGCTGGTCAAACACAATCGTTCCTGTACCTGAACATAAAGGAGTTATGGTTGTATTTATTACTTACTTAGGAGTATAGAGGGTAAGGCGTTTGGAGATCTTTGATACCCTGTATAAGTAGTTCCGTATTAGCGTGAAGACGAGGCTGGCAGACTCATATTAATAGGAGTATGGTCGCAGCGTTGAAGGATGCTGCGATCGCGAGAATCATACACGACAGATTAACTCAATACTTTATCAATTCTACTTCCAGTACTTACGTACCACTCGCATACAAGAATCTTGTTCTAAAAGCTCGCATGTAAATAACTGTAATGTCAGCCCTTTAGAAAATCCCAAATCGGATGAGCTAAGGTGGAAAGTATTGAACTCGACATCAATCAATTGATAAATTTAACTGGACTAATATACTACACTCATTGATCTTCCACACCATAATCAACCCTGATCCTATGGAGGACGAAGACTGAACAACTCACCTTGACGTCCCGTATTTTTCTCTGAAAAATCCTGAGTGACCTCTAGACCAGTCGATAGATCTTCGCTGACTTAATTTTTGGCCGGAATACCTAGGATAACTCGCTCAAGGTAGTTTGAAACGCGCTCCCCGTGACGCCGGAATCTTTGCTCTAGTATCTAGCCAAGTTCAAGTATGGTAAAATATCGGCAATATCTTCTGTGTTTGTTATACAAATTAAAAATAAGGAAGAGACAAAAATACCGGTGAATGCATGTTCTCGCTGGGTAGCCAGCCACTGTCGACCACTGCACGATTGTATTATCCTCCAACAAATTTTTGAAGAGTAAGTGAAACCTTTGATTA